CCGTAGTTTGAGGACCCCTGCTATAGATGTTTCCTTCTCATGGATGCCCTGTATCTATCTCTCCTCCTCACTTCTTCTCTCTGTAAAAATCAATAAAAAAATCTTTAAAAAAAAAGTTGGCTTTTGTCAGGGAAGATACTAGCCTAGGACATGAATACGAAACCTGCCATGAACTACTTTTAGTTAAAAAGTTTCCACTTCAGCTCTAACTGGTTTGGCTCAGTGGATAGAGCGTCAGCCTGCGGACTGAAAGGTCCCAGGTTCAATTCCGGTCAAGGGCATGTACCTTGGTTGCGGGCACATCCCCAGTAGGGTGTGTGCAGGAGGCAGCTGATCGATGTTTCTAACTCTCTATCCCTCTCCCTTTCTCTATGTAAAAAAATCAATAAAATATATTTTTAAAAAAAGTTTTCGTTTCAGACCCCCCTTTTTTGGTACTTTAGGTCTCTGAGTTTGCAAGGCCTGCACACAGGCCTTCCCCAAGCTTGTCAGGTTAGCGTGTGGCTCCTTTTCATCCATACCAATGTTTACCTATAAAGTTTTTTTGTTGTTGTTAATCTTCATCTGAGGATATTTTTTCGTTGATTTTTTTTTTTTAAAGAGAGTGGAAAGGAGAGGGGTGGAAAAGAGAGAGAGAGATATACATGTGAGAAGGATACAAAGATTGTTTGCCCCTGGAACTCACCGTGACCTGGGTAGGGGTTGAACCTACAAGCCCGGTATTTGCCCTTGTCCAGGAATTGAACCCGGGGACTCTTTGATGTTTGGGTGAACGCTGTAACCACTGAACCACAGTTGCCGGCTATAAAGTAATTTTCTTTTTTCTTTCCTTTTTTTTGGTTAATCTTTGCCCAAGGATATTTTTCCATTGATTTTTAGGGAGAGTAGAAGAGAGATAAAGACAAAGGAGAAACATCGGTGTGAAAGAAACACATTGATTGGTTGCCTCCTGTGTGAGCCTCAACCAGGGCCTGGGCTAGAGAGGAGCCTGCAGCCAAGGTATGTATCCTTTATTGGAATCAAACCCGGGACCCTTTGGTCTGCAGGCTGACGCTCGATCCACTGAGCCAAACAGCTCGGGCTGTATTTTTCTTCTTTAAAATATATTTTTCAATTGATTTCAGAGAGGAAGGGCGAGGAAGCTAGAGATGGCAACATCAGTGATGAGAGAGAATCATTGATTGGCTGCCTCCTGCACGCCCCCTACTGGGGATCGAGCCCGCTACCTAGGCATATGCCCTGACCTGGAATCGAACCCTGACCACCTGGTTCATAGGTCAAAGATCAATCACTGAGTCCCGCTAGCCAGGTTTTTTATGTCTTTTGACTGGAGAATTTGTTTTAGGACCTACTATTGCTGCTTCTTCATTGGTTTTTTAACTCTTTTGCACCCGTTTGTTTGTCTTACTGCCTTGTGGTCTTTCTTGTGTGATTTGGTCATTTTGTATAGTGGTTTGACTCGTATCTCTTTTGTATATTTATCACACAGGTTTTTGCTTGTGGTTTCCAAGAGACTTAAGACAAAAGAACGCCTATTTTATCCTGGTAACACCTTCAGTTGAATACAAAAATGTACCCTTTGACTCTCCACCAAACTCCTTTATACGTTTCTGATGTCTCCATTCACAGGTTTTCATATTGTGTATCTATTAAGGTACATAATGTTATCTTCATTATTTTTTAAAATATAGATTTTATTGATTTTTTATAGAGAGGAAGGGAGAGGGATAGAGAGTTAGAAACATCGATGAGAGCCCTAACTGGTTTGGCTCAGTGGATAGAGCATCCACCTGCGGACTCAAGGGTCCTAGGTTCGATTTTGGTCAAGGGCTTATACCTTGGTTGCAGGCACATCCCCAGTAGGGAGTGTGTAGGAGGCAGCTCGGCTCCGGGTTCCTGATACCTCTTCCCTGAAGGCCAGGGCTTGAGGATGTTCCCTGGTGTGGTGGCAATAGGTGGTGGGGGGAAGAAACCTGCTCACATGGCGGGCGGGGCGGGGAGGTCTTGGTCCAGCCAGGCCTCTCCAGGCGCCGGCATTAGCAGTGGCCGCGGTGACGAACCGTGCACCCGCCAACGGGTGGTGAGCGTGAAGGAAGCTGTCTCCACTGGACTCTTACTCCCCTTTCTTGTGCTGTGCTGGTGGTTGTTCATGGAGAGCTAGCTGTCTCCTTGGTCTGGGAGAGGGATGAACACTGGTATCCCCTGGTCTGCCACCTTGCTGATGTCACTCACCTAGATCTTCTCCTGTGGTCTCTTCTGTGCTTTGTTGTCATTCCACCGTTCTGGCCTTCCAGCTCTTCAGTTTTCCTTTTCGGATTTCTATTCATCTCTATCCCAGGGAATGGCTCCACTGGGATTTAAGGGGAAGAATCATTTGTGCTCACAGGCGATACATGACCCCGTCCAGGCCAGGGTGGCCCCCGAGGCAGTCTTGCCGGGATAAAGGGCTGTTGGAGAGAGATGGATGCCAGGGCTTTGTGAAGGTAGTAACTAGACAGTGATGGCGAACCTTTTGAGCTCGGCGTGTCAGCATTTTGAAAAACCCTAACTTAACTCTGGTGCCGTGTCACATATAGAAATTTTTTGATATTTGTAACCATAGTAAAACAAAGACTTACATATTTTTTTTTCTTTTTTTTTATTAGTTAAGGTATTACAAATGTGTCCTCATCCTCCCCCTTAACCCCCAAGACTTATATTTTTGATATTTATTTTATATATTTAAGTGCCATTTAACAAAGAAAACTCAACCAAAAAAATGAGTTCGCGTGTCACCTCTGACACGGGTGTCATAGGTTCGCCATCACTGAACTAGGACCTCATTTTGTTGTTCAGTTTTTGTTACCATTGCCAGATCCACTCCATTCTACTTGTTCTTCCTTATCAACTACTCAATTCTGATAGTGATCCTTTCTATTCAGATTCCCAGCCCATGGGGAATCTTCACCTTTCTAAACTTGGCACCTCACACATTTCCCTTCCAGGTTTTTCTTTCCTGGACTGCAACGTTGATCCGTGCCTGCAGAGCCTTGGGGTGTGCATGTGTCATAATGTTGACCTTGAACATCATGTCACACCAGCTGTAATGCAACTGGTCTTTATGGGTTGGAGCACATTCAAATGATTCTACACAGACTCCCATCACCTGCAATGCTGGTCTGAGAGGAAGCCCTTTATGGAGGGACAACTAATGGACCCTGCCTCTCTTTTCTGGGTCTCATCCTATGCTGTGTCCTTTTCTTGATGTGGTTTGTACCGTTTACTGACCTTTGGGGCCAAGTAATGTGTAAGCAGTCAGCCATTTCTTAGCGTCTAACTCACTTGTCTTGAAAATCATCCCATAGCCCTAGCCCAGTGGTCGGCAAACTCATTAGTCAACAGAGCCAAATATCAACAGTACAACGATTGAAATTTCTTTTGAGAGCCCAATTTTTTAAACTTAAACTATATAGGTAGGTACATTGTTATTAACTTAATTAGGGTACTCCTAAGCTGGCCTTGGCTAAAAACGTCTTCAGTCTGATTGAGGTACGTTCGTTGAGGTCGACCCCTTCCAACTCTCCCATCCACACTCGTCTTGTATACTTGTTTCGTCTATCTCCTTTCGTTCATCCTCTCTATATGTCCAGACCATCTCAACATACCTTTCTCAATCCTCGACACTACATCTTCTTTCACTCCACAACGTTCCCTAAAATTAACTTAATAAACTTTACTTAAAGTTTTAAGTCAACTTCACACTGTATGTGCTCGGCCGCACATGGTATTTTGTGAAAGAGCCACACTCAAGGGGCCAAAGAGCCGCATGTGGCTCGAGAGCCGCTGTTTGCCAACCACTGCCCTAGCCGGTTGGGCTCAGTGAATAGAGCGTCAGCCAATGGACTGAAGGGTCCCAGGTTTGATTCAGGTCAAGGGCACATGCCTGGATTGTGGGCTTGATCCCCGGTAGAGGGCGTGCAAAAGGCAGCCAATCAATGATTCTCTCTCGTCATTGATGTTTCTACCTCCCTCTCCCTTTCCCTTCCTCTCTGAAATCGATAAAAATATTTGAAACAAAAGAAAATCATCCCATAAAATCATGCCTCGCTGTGGCAAATGGATATTTGTGGTGAGGCTACCCCTTCCCTATCAGGTCAACATGTACCTCACCAGCGTTTCCTTTTCTTCAGGTTGCTGCTGTGGTGCAGAGGATGTGGCGGCTCCCCCTGAACAGAAGGTTTCTGTAAGATTGTCACAGGCCAGGAATCCCAAGGTAGCCTTGTCTTCCCAGAAGAGCCACCCCTGTGGGAGTTGTGGGCCAGTCTTGGGAAACATTTTCCAGCTGGTTGAACTGAAGGAAACCCAACACAGCCAGATACTGTTGAGGTGTGGGGCATGTGCAAAAAGATTTTATTTCCGTGCAAAATTTGACCAGCACCAGAAGCAGCATAGGACAGAGAAGCCTTTCGTTAGAGATGTGGACAGCATCTCTCTTGCGAGGGGCGGTGATTTTCGTGTGTCACAGAAACCTTCTACCTGTGGGGAATTTGGACAAGACGTGTTCACCGGGTCAGGACATCTACAGCAACAGGCTACTCCCACCAGGGATAGAACAAATGAAATCTTGACACCTGAGGTGAGTTTTCAAAGCAGAAATAACGACGACATCTGGGAAGAATATCATAAAACCACGGGCAGCATCCACACATGTGTTCAGGACAGGAATATTGGTCCTGAAAGACAGCGTTTCGTGGGCCAGGAATGTGGAAAATGTTGTAGCAAAATTTCTACTTTTCACTGTCATCAGAGCGTTCACTCCGGAAAAAGACGTTATGAGTGTGGTGAGTGTGGTGAGTGTGGGAAGTCTTTCTCAAGGATGTATTACCTTCCTTATCATCAGAGAGTTCACACTGGAGAAAGGCCTTATGAATGCAGTGAGTGTGGCAAATCTTTCTTCAGTAGCTCTGGCCTTCACTATCATCGGAGATTTCACAGAGGAGAAAGACCTTATGAGTGCAGTGAATGTGGGAAATCTTTTAGCTGTAGCAGTGCCCTCCGCAGCCACCGGAGAGTTCACACTGGAGAAAAGCCTTATGAGTGCAGTGAGTGTGGGAAATCTTTTACTGGTAGCAGTGGCCTCCGGAGCCACCAGAGAGTTCACACTGGAGAAAGGCCTTACGAGTGCAGTGAGTGTGGCAAATCTTTCTTCAGTAGCTCTGGCCTTCATTATCATCAGCGATTTCACACAGGAGAAAGGCCTTATGAGTGCAGTGAATGTGGGAAATCTTTTAGCTGTAGCAGTGCGCTCCACAGCCACCGGAGAGTTCACACGGGAGAAAAGCCTTATGAGTGCAGTGAATGTGGGAAGTCTTTTAGCTGTAGCAGTGGCCTCCGGAGTCATGAGACAGTTCACACTGAAGAAAGGCCTTACGAGTGCCTTGCCTGTGGAAAATCTTTCAAGAGTAGCAATGGCTTTCAGTATCATCAGAGAGTTCACACTGGAGAAAAGCCTTATGAGTGCAACAAATGTGGGAAATTTTTTATCAAAATCCAAGGCCTTCATAAGCACCAGAGAGTTCACACTGGAGAAAAGCCTTACGAGTGCAATGAATGTGGGAAATCTTTTTCAAGAAAGGAGTCCCTTCGTTATCATCAGAGAGGTCACAGTGGAATAAGGCCTTATGTGTGTCATGAATGTGGGAAATCTTTTACAAGTAGCACTGGCCTCCATTATCATCAGAGATTTCACACGGGAGAAAAGCCCTATGAGTGCAGTACATGTGGCAAATTTTTTACCAGCAGAAGTGGCCTTGTCCATCACCAGAGAGTTCACACTGGAGAAAGGCCTTATGTGTGCCCTAAATGTGGGAATTCTTTTACTAGTAGCAATGGCCTTGTAGGTCACCTGAGACTTCACACTGGAGAAAGGCCATATGAGTGCAGTGAATGTGGGAAGTCTTTTACCAGGATCCATAGCCTTCGTTATCATAAGAGAGTTCACAGTAGAGGAAATGTCTAGGAAACTAATAGCTTCTTAGTTCAGTTTTTTTTTATTTTATGTTTTGAGTATTTATTATAGGCCAGGTGTTAAGGATAGGGAAGTTATCCTGCTTTCATGGAGTTTACAATCTAGCAAAGAACCTAAGGATGATAAAAGAAATATTTTACTCTTTCCTTTGTTTGCTGCCTCATGTTTTTCAAGTTGATTCTATAAACCATTTTTGGTGAGAAAAGTCAGCTTCCATCTACACCTTCATACATAAAAGGAAAATGTCGTCGTCATCTATTGCATATCCAGGACTCATAGCATCCAAGAGTTTCAAGGCTGGGAACGAAGTTTCTATAAAGAAACTCAGATCTCGTTTTGGTCTCCTGAAATTTCATTCCTCTGATGTCAGATGAATCCAGCTTCTAACTAGGATGAAGTTGAACTATAGGATCTATCAGCTGTCTAGCATCATCTCCTATAACCATTCCTGCTGAGAATGTCCAAATGCAAGTCCACTTGTTTAGGGGGTCTGCAGCAGATGTAACAGAGGCTTTCAAATAAGACTTCTGGGCTAGCACACAGGGTGCTGAAGACCAGGTCTTTCTTCTTCAGTGGATCCCATCTTTAACCAGTCTATCACCAACAGGAGAGAGCCTTAGTTCAGTTTTTGTTTTTTTGTTTTTAAATATATTTTATTAATTTTTTACAGAGAGGAAGGGAAAGGGATAGAGAGCTAGAAACATCGATGAGAGAGAAACATCAATTAGCTGCCTCCTGTACACCTCCCACTGGGGATGTGCTGGCAACCAAGGTACATGCCCTTGACCGGAATCGAACCCGGGACCCTTCAGTCTGCAGGCCGACACTCTATCCACTGAGCCAAACCGGTTAGGGCTTAGTTCAGTTTTTTTTTTTTTTTTTTTTAATATATTTTATTGATTTTTTACAGAGAGGAAGGGAGAGGGATAGAGAGTTAGAAACATCGATCAGCTGCCTCCTGCACACCTCCCACTGGGGATGTGCCCGCAACCAAGGTACATGCCCTTGACCAGAATCGAACCTGGGACCTTTCAGTCTACAGGCTGGCGCTCTATCCACTGAGCCAAACCGGTTAGGGCTTAGTTCAGTTTTAACAACACTGTGGGAAGCACTGGAGCCTCATTTGTCTGAATTGAAGCTCATACGTCCATACGTATGGACAAGTGGACTTGCATTTGGACATTCTCAGCAGGAATGGTTATAGGCTGACAGGACCATAAAGGAGATGATGCTAGATAGTTGATAGATCCTATAGTTCAACCGTAGGGGGGTGGGGGTGTTCCCCATAAGTTTATGTGGGACGCATGTGTGCAAATTGCACTTTTTAAATTTCCCCAGGTGTCTTGCCAGATCTACGTCACTGAATATGTTTGTCGCATAAACTATTTCACATGTACCACCTGGAAGGTATCCGCAGATGGCATCCGTCGCCATCCTAATGTGCTCAGAGAAGCTAACTGTTCTCTGAATTTTTTGGAGAAAATAAGGAGTAGCCTGCATTTTTAGGAAGTCTTTATTCCTTTTACTCTCAGTAATTGGTGCACGGATCTGACTCAGTTTTGCCCCTAAGAACATCACCTGAGTTTAGCCAGCGGCTTGCAGAATGACTGCCTGGTTCAAGGACATGCTTTCCCTAGATGCCAGTGATTAATTTTTTTAAATATATTTTTTAATTGATTTCAGAGAGGAAGGGAGGGGAGAGAGAGATAGAAACATCAATGATGAGAGAGAATCATTGATCAGCTGCCTCCTGCACGCCCCACACAGATCGAACCAGCAACATGGGCATGTGCCCTGACCAGGAATTGAACCGTGACCTCCTGGTTCATAGGTTGATGCTCAACCACTGAGCCATACCAGCCGGGAACCAGTGATTAATTTTTTTTTGAGTGTCACACATGCAAGAACTGTGAGGGTGTTGTCCCTTTGTCTTGTAAAATAATGGAGGCCTTTTTCCCCCAAGTCTTCTTTAATCTTGGGTGTTCTAGTTACTGTATGGGTTGGTTTATAAGTAGATCTGGGTCTATACCAGCACAAAGAGGGGAATAACTCGTACAAGCCTTAAAGTTTCTCTGCCTCCTAGGAGATGATTCGGTACAGAAATTAGCTCAGCCGTTTTTTGCCAAATTTGCTTTGTTGCTCGTATTTCTGTAGGAAAGACTATGGGGCCTGTAGTCCTCATGTGAAGTCTGGATGCTATGAGACACAGAGGTCACTCCAAAGAGGGGGGTAGCTGTGACAACCTCGAGTACCTTTGGGAGCAGCAGTGAGTTCGTTTGTATGCAAACGATGCCAGTACTTTTGAAGGGAAAGGAATCTCTTGCCCAGGTCTTGCAAAGGGCCAGGTGCCCTAATGTCTACAGTTCCACAGGTGATGGTCACTGGTTTTAGGGGTCAGGAGAAACCATGATTGCACCAGAAACACTGACGACCTGTTAGGTGCTGGAGGAGGCCAGCCCACTAGCTGAAATGTGCCTTTTAATGTGCACCCAGAAATTTTTGAGAAAAAGACTGCAGGATCGGTGTGTACACTAATCAGGGGGTCTCCCGTCATGTTTATCTTCTGTGGATGCAGTCATTGTCATGGAATATATCCAGCAGGTTTTGTGGCCCTGGCTGGGTAGCTCAGTTGGTTAGGGCATCATGCTGATACCCCAAGGTTGTGGGTTCAATCTCCTTTCAGGGCACATACAAGAATCAACTAGTGAATGTACAACTAAGTGGAACAACAAATCAATTTCTCTCTCTCCCTTCTCTCTCGAATTAATAAGACATTTTTAAAAAGGTTTTGTGGAGCCCTGGCTGGTTTGGCTCAGTGGATAGAGCATCGGCCTGCAGACTGAAGGGTCCCAGGTTCAATTCCAGTCGAGGGCACACGCCAGGGTTATGGGCTCGATCCCCAGTGGGGGACGTGCACAAGGCAGCCAATCAATGATTCTCTCGCATCATTGATGTTTCTATCTCTCCCAATGCCTTCCTCTCTGAAATCAATAATATATTAAAAAAAAAAAAAAGGTTTTGTGGATTACTGTAGCCTCTCCAATGTTCAAGTCAGAGCCTTTGTTGCCCTGGCAGAAAAATAAAAAAAGAGTGGAGTGCAGGGATGTGGCTTTTATTACCCAGCAGGCATTCCTGTTGATTTGGGTGAAAGTCCTTCATTGTTAGTTATATTGGATGTCACTGAGATAAGCCCTCCCTCCCCCGCAGAGGTCATGAGAATGTGGATTGAATATACTAGGTGTACCGGTTAATAATACATATTTTTTTCAATAGATGGAGTTACACATATGTTGCTATATATGCGATTTGATATGTATGCTATTTTGTGGTATTGACAACAAGCTTCAAAACTTCATATGTCAAATTTTCTGACGGTGTTAACATCATCGGTATTTTTACGCTTAAAAATGTCGAATTTCGTGCCGGAAAAAAGAGGTAGAGTCCCTAGGCCTGGCCAGCGATCAGGGCCGATTGGGGCCTTCCTTTGTTCCGTACCCGCCCCCTGGTGGTCAGTGCATGTCATAGCGAGTGATCGAACTTCTGAGGGGACACTTTGCATATTAGCCTTTTATATATAGCGATAGATAAGTTTCATTTACCTTTGTAAATAGCTCAGTGCATAGTCTGATTCATCAGTGAATGTTTAACTTACACAGATTAAATTGTGATCTAAACTGATGGTATACTTTTGCATCTTTCCAGCAGTTTATGAGGATTCAGCTCCTCCACATTCTAGAGAATATTTGGGTTGGTCAATGGTTCTTTATGTAAACTTTTTTTTATAACTTTGTCATGCGATCCCTGTTGTTTGATTGTATTTTTCTAAGGATTTATGGTGAGCCTTTTCTCAGATGTGTATTTGCCCTCTCTGTGTCTTAGTTAAGGCATCTGATCATAGGTTCTGCTTCATCTGCTACGAGTTTTGGCAATTTAACAAAAAGACTCTGGAAGAACAAAGATGCATGTGGGAATTTCACTCATTTTGTGCCTTTTTCTTTTTATGAAATAAAGGGTTTTTTGTATTGAAAAATGTGTTCTCTAGCCTTCTTCCAATATGGGATGCTGTGCACAATACAATGGACAAGTTAATTTTAACCTACACTATCAACCTTCGCCTTCACTTACAGAAGTCCCATCATTTGATAATGCAATAACCCTTTGTAGAACTCTCCATCTTCCTGGTCTCCTGCCATGGGGGTTCTTGCCTTGGAACAGGTCTCAGGAGGACCAGATGGCACCAGGGAAATGGGCAGGGGGCGGCGGGGCAGTGATCAGATTACCCATGCCCTGGGTAGGGCACTCTGGATTTAAATTTCAGATGCTTTTTTTAAAATGTCTTTATTGATTAAGTTATTACATATGTGTCCTTATCCCCACATTACCCCCCCAACCCCCCCACTCATGCCCTCACCCTCCTGTTGTCTGTGTCCATTGGTTAGGCCTATATGCATGCATACACGTCCTTTGGTTGATCTCTCCCCCTTCCCCCCACCGTCCCCTACCTTCCCTCTGAGGTTTGATGGTCTGATCGATGTTTCTCTGTCTCTGGATCTGTTTATGTTCATCAGATTATGTTGTTCATTAAATTTCAGATTCTTTTTTAAAAAATATATATATTTCTTTATTGATTTCAGAGAGGAAGGGAGAAGGAGAGAGAGATGGAAACATCAATGATGAGAATCATTGATCGGCTGCCTCCTGCACACCCCCTACTGGGGATCGAGCCCGCAACCCGGGCATGTGCCCTTGGCTGGAATCGAACCTGGGACCCTTCAGTCTGCAGGCTGACACTCTATCCCAGTGATGGCGAACCTTTTGAGCTCGGCGTGTCAGCATTTTGAAAAGCCCTAACTTAACTCTGGTGCCGTGTCACATATAGAAATTTTTTGGTATTTGCAACCATAGTAAAACAAAGATTTATATTTTGATATTTATTTTATATATTTAAATGCCATTTAACAAAGAAAAATCAACGAAAACATGAGTTCGTG